AATAAGACCCTTGTGCGTGGTTTTTAAAATTTTGAAGTATACATATTGATAAATTAGGAAAATTTCCTAAACATTTTTGCTTTATTTTCCTAATTATAAACCTCTTAATAAATTTTTTTTCATTTTCGTTTTTTTTTCAAATTAACATCGTAATATTCTTATGTCCAAGTAAACTTCTTTTTCTTTCTCCATGATTTCTCTATTTCACTAATCTTTTTTTCTCTAGTGATGTTGTTGTTTACAAAATCATGTTTAACCACATTAGTTCTTCAAGTATGCTTTGGTTAATGTTTGACTCAAATGGATCTAATTGGAGTACCCCATTTAAACTCATTTTAACTATATCCGATAAATGGATTTAAATGGACTCGTTTTAATATAATATACCCATTTACTAAATGGAGGTTTCATACCCATATTAACATCTCTATATTTGATAATAGAATTCGGTTACTAATTTGATACATCTGATGATCACTAATGGTCTCGATCGATTTTTTTTGGTGTTAATTTTTTTATTTTTCTGTTCGTTTTTGTGTTTGTCAATTTTTATATGTTCTTACAATGTGTTTACTTCCAAAGAAATCCACAACTATTAGTTTTCAAATATATAAGAAAATAAAATGCAATAGCCAATACAAACATAAACTTTTGGTATTTAATCCGTTTATGTGTTGCTTTTGTGTTTAAATACTTACAAGAATATTTAATATGAAAAAAGAGAGAAGATAATTTATTTTAGTACATAAAAAATTATTTATTATTGAAACTCAAACCAAAGTGCTAAATGACATTTAAATATAAGAAGTTGGTTATTATATTACAATTTATTATTATTATATTAGAATTTAATTATTCATATATATAATTAAATTTTAAAAAATACATATTACACGTAATATTACATCATGGATCATAGTATATATAGGGACTATACGTATAATGGACTGATTTAAAATACTACTATTTTTTATTAAAACCGATACATCGGAGCAAAAGAAGATCGGAGATGATCGGAGAAAAAGAGAGAAGCGAAGCTTTATTATCAAAAGTATAAAAGTTTGTTACAAAAGCTTAACGACTAATCTCAGTCTAATTAGCTTATATATGCTAATTAAACTTTACAACATTAAACCAGACATTTAAACCAGAGTCAATAACCGGTTAAACACAAACCAAGTAATCTAATATCCTCCCCTCAAGTCTTTATCTTCAGAACATATGCTGTTGGAAGATATAGACTTGATAATGACATTTGTTGAAGGATGTTGAAAAATGGACCTGGGTGTAAAGGCTTGGTGAGTATGTCTGCATGTTGATTTCCTGAAGAAACATGTAATGTCTTCAGTTTCCCCGCTTTTATCTGATCACGAACAATATGGCAATCAATCTCTATGTGTTTAGTCCTCTCATGGAAAACTGGATTCATTGCTATATGAAGAGCTGACTTGTTGTCACAAAACAATTTGGCTGAACAAACAGGAGTAATGTGTAGATCTCTGAGGAGTTGTTGAAGCCAAATAATCTCACAAGTAGCATTAGCAAGACTCCTATATTCTGATTCTGTGCTGCTCCTACTCGCAACTTGTTGTTTCTTAGACTTCCATGAAATGAGTGAAGTGCCAAGATACATGCAATAACCAGAAACAGATCTCCTTGTATCTTTGCAATTTGCCCAATCCGCATCAGCAAAACCATTGATACAAATCTCAGAATTAGCAGAGAACATCAAGCCAAGTCCTGGATTACCTTTTAGATATCGAAGAACCTTATATGCAGCTTGTAAGTGTATGTCAGTAGGTGCAGAGATGAACTGACTAAGTTGATGAACAGCAAAGGTGATGTCAGGTCTTGTATTAGTCAAATATAGCATCCTTCCTACCAGCTCTCTGTAAGTCTTTGGATTAGACAATAAAGTTCCCATTTCTTTAGTCAAATGCAAATTTGGATCCATTGGTATCGAACTAGGCTTGCATCCCAACAGACCAGTATCTTCCAGCAAGTTCTGTGTATATTTTCGTTGACACACTGAGATTCCTGCATTTGATCGTGCTATTTCCAAACCAAGAAAGAAACGAGCTGGACCTAAATCCTTTATCTTGAATTCTGATCGCAACAAAGTCTTCAAACTCTCCACTGCAGTCTCATTATCACTCGCTATCATAATGTCATCAACGTATACTAAAACTGCAATGAAAGCACCAGGAACGATCTTGACAAACAGAGTATTGTCAGCATGCGATTGTGTGTAATTTGCACCCAATAGAACTGATGAGAAACGTTTATACCATTGGCGTGATGCTTGCTTCAATCCATATAGAGATTTTCGTAAACGACATACCGGATTAGAAGGCAAAGCATTGTGTTTGGGTGTGTATCCTTGTGGTAAGCTCATGTAGATTTCTTCATCCAAATCTCCATGTAAGAAAGCATTTGAAACATCCATCTGTGTGAGACTCCATCCTTTTGAAGCAGCAAGAGCAAGAATATATCTCACACTGGTTAGTTTAGCAACAGGTGAAAAAGTGTCTAGAAAATCCAGCCCTTCTTGTTGAGTAAACCCCTGTGCTACTAACCTAGCTTTGTACCTTTCCACAGTACCATCAGGGTTATACTTGATAGTAAATACCCATTTACAGCCTACTACATTCTTTCCATCTGGTAAAGACTCAACATCCCAAGTGTGATTCTGTTCTAAAGCTTGGAGTTCTTCATTTGCAGCCTTTGTCCATTTTTCTGACTTCATGGCCTGGCTAAAATTCTTAGGTTCTGTTTCTAAGCTATAAGAACAGATATATGAATTATATATGGGAGAGAGTTTATTATAAGAGATA